GTATGATTGGAAATGGTACACTTTATGTAAATTGAATTTGGATAATTTATATGCTAAAACTCTCATGACCTTGCATCATAATATTGACACTAAATGTAATTTGGTGGATGAACGATATGCTTACTTGTGGCATAAGTGTTTGGGACATATTTCCAAAGAAAGAATGCAAAGATTAGTAAAGAATGAAACCCTTCCGAATTTAGATTTTACTAATCTGAATATATTTGTGGATTGTATTAAAGGAAAACAAACAAAACACACAAAGAAAGGAGCCATAAGAAGCACTCAACTTCTTGAAATCATACGCACTGTTATATGTGGTCCATTTGACGTAAATTCTTTTAATAAAGAGAAGTATTTCATCACCTTCGTTGATGATTTCTCATGTTATGGGCATGTCTAGTTACTACATGAGAAATCTCAAGCAATAAATGCCTTAGAAAGTTATATAAATGAAGTGGAGAGGCAATTAGACAGAAATGTGAAAATTGTCAGGTCAGATAGAGGTGGTGAGTATTATGGAAGATATGATGAAAGTGGACAACACCCTAGTCCATTTGCTAAGTTCCTTGAGAAGCGTGGTATTTGTGTTCAATACACAATGTCAGGCACACCGTAATAAAATGGTGTGTCTGAAAGGCGTAATCGAACCTTAATGGATATGGTTAGGAGCATGTTAAGTAATTCATGTTTACCTGTATCGTTGTGGATGTATGCTTTGAAGACTGTCATGTATTTGTTGAACAAGATTCTTAGTAAAGCGGTTCAAAAGACTCATTTTGAGCTATGGACAAGTAGGAAACCTAGTTTGAGACACCTACATGTTTGGGGTTGTCAGACAGAAGTAAGAATTTATAATCCACAAGAAAAGAAACTGGATGCAAGAACAATCAATGGATATTTCATTGGTTATCCAAAAAAATTAAAAGGATATATGTTTTACTGTCCTACTCATAGTACAAGAATTGTTGAAACTGGAAATACTCGGTTCATTCAAAATGGTGAAACCAGTGGGAGTGAAGCTCCATGAAATATGGAGATTAAGGAAGTTAGAGTACAAGTTCATGTAACTAGTACATCTTCTTCAAAAGTTGTTGTTCCATATGTTGTAGAACCACATGACAATCAAGAAGAACAACAAATTAATGATTTCGAGATTAACAATGAACTGATATTAGAACAACCACAAGAAATAATATTAAGAAGATCTCACAGAGAAAGAAAGTATGTTATTTTGAATGATTACGTGGTTTATCTAAGAGTTAGAAAAAGACCTAAGTATTAATAATGACCTAATTTCATTTTCAGATGCCATTAATGGTATTAATTCTGACAAATGGTTAGATGTTATGAAAGATGATATTGAATCAATGACACATAATGGTGTATGAGATCTTGTGGAATTGCCAGAAGGATGCAAGAGTGTTGGGTGTAAATGAGTCTTTAAGACTAAGCGTGACTCTCATGGCAATATCGAACGTTACAAGACCCGACTTGTTGCCAAAGGTTTTACTCAGAAAGATGACATTGATTATAAGGAAACATTTTCACCTATTTCTAAGAAAGATTCTTTTAGAATTATCATGACATTAGTAGCTCATTATAATCTTGAGTTGCATCAAATGGATGTTAAAATTGTCTTTCTGAATGGAGATTTAGAGGAGGATGTTTATATGGACCAACCAGTGGGGTTTTTTGAAGAAGGAAGAGAGCACATGGTGTGTAAACTTAAGAAATCAATGTATGGACTTAAACAAGCTTATCAACAATGGTATCTTAAGTTCAATAATACTATTTTGTCCTTTGGATTTAAGGAAAACACTATTGATCGGTGTATATCTCTAAAGATCAGTGGGAGCAAGTGTTGGTCTTTTAGCAAACGTATCAATATTATCAATCACTGTATAATATTTCAATTAAATAAAAGTTGATCCCACGAGGAACAGTTTCACTGAAAATTCTAAGTCATATGTTTATTAAGTATATTGACACAAAATTGGTTTTTCATAAATATGTGGGTTAAAAATAAATGGCAAAGAACTATTAAGTAATTTTAGAAAAGATGAAATATAAGAACTTAGGATTGGATTAATTCCTTTTCCCTCTTTTGTATAATGACTAGGTCAAATTAATAACATCAATTAACCTATCAATGTTGATGCCACCTACTTAAATCATTCACATTGATTCCTCAAACATGAAATTCATAAGAAAACCTTGTAAACATAGATTCCTCATACATTTAATAGATTTTCTAGCATTTAGTTTAGGGTGTTAAGCACTTAATATATCAATTACCATTCCTAGCAATCAATATAGCAAATATTCTTAACCTAATCAAGGGTGTCACGATATACTTTTCAATATATATGAACATCCAGGATAAAAACATTAAAAGGCACAAATGATAAGAATAACAACATCAAGAACATAGATTAATATCTCAAAATATCACCAAGATACAAAAGAGTTCAAAGGAAGTGCACTCAATCCTAGGAGAATGAAGTTAGCCACTCATGATGGTCATTACAATGATCCAAATGAAGAATTGAAGATTGGACCAAAATTGGAGCATTTATTGTGTCTCTCTTCTCAAAACCTCCAATCTCCATCTCAAAACATATTTTATCTTTTTATAGAAAAATTTGGGCAACGCGTCATTCGCTCAAGCGAAAAATGATGATTTTTGCTCAAGCGAGAAATGTTAAATTGAGCGGTTGAATTCCCGAGAGCTTTAACGTATTTTTGCTCAAGCGAATAAATGTTCGCTTGATCGAGTGACTTCTAGAGAGCTTTAACGTATTTTCGCTCAAGCGAGCATTCGTCTCGCTTAGGCGAATCTCAGGCTGAAAATCTTTTTCCTTCTTTCAATTTTTCTTCAATTATCTTGAAAATTATGATCCTTGCTCTTGTACCAAGGTATTCTGCAAATTCATCATACATTAGAAGAAAAATAGATTAGAATCAACATAATTTAAGTGATTAAATAACAATTAAAAACATAATTACATCAACTTTTACCACTTAACAACTCCCCCAACCTAGAATCTTGCTTGTCCCCAAGCAAAGTACTAATTCCTCCAAAACAAAAATTCATTGCCTATTGTCACTTTCTCTTCCAGAACACTTAACACAAAAATAACTTTTCTTCAAGATATCATGTTCACAACTTCAAGTGAAAATAGGATACATTGTGCATTATAGTTACAGAAACTAATAGGGGATAATTAATCATCAATTATCCTCAAAGAAGCATCATTTCTCAAGTAAAATGATATATAATCATCTCTAACTCTCACGGGTAAGTGTTTATCTCATTCAATCACTTAATTTAGATAATCCACTATTGATAATCATCTTTAAGCAATCAACATTTGTTAAGCAAGACTTAAATATAAAAGGTTTTTTGAGGCTTGTAATGAGGTTGGGCTTTCAATGAATTCATTGGTTTTTCTATGATACACAAAAGTATTTAAGAAATTGAAATTATATGAATGATTCTTGTTTAACATTTCCTCAAGTCAAGTCTCAACTTCATGCTTTTGTTCCAACATAATAATAGTGAGCTCACAACCTAAATCTCACAAATGATCATGCACACCAATTTGAATTTCCTTTTTCTTTCCTCATTTTGCATTTATCATTTCAGCTCAGCCACAATATTTAATACTTTTCTTTCCCTTTTTCTCTACTCAACCTTCTCTGCTTCTTTTTTTTTTAGATTAACAATAACATTCATAATTATTTCATTTCTCGAATATAAGAAGGTGGATAAATATTGTTTAGGTTCAGGGATTCTGTTTCAAGAAACAACCTTGTTTTTGGCTCAAATGGGGTTCAAAATAATTTCTTCTAATCAATACAGGGTTGACTATTCTAGGTTATTTCTACTTTCATCAAACAAAAATTTGTCTTTATCATTTTCAAGTCTTGCTAACATGCAATCACATCAAAGAATCAATCAATAACATTTATCATCATAAAGTGTTGATACTCAAATTAAATGTTTTTGGGTATACTACTCTCTTGAGTTTCAGCTAGCTTCTCCAATTCAGTTAATTCATAATTCTCCTCATTCATTTTATTTTCACTATCATACTCATTATCCCAAAATCATTTGTTATTGGAAACAATCAAAATGATTTTTAATTCTAGATTTGAATTAGACAATAAACAATGACTTCATATATAACTCTAAGACAAACAAATTGTGTGGGATAGTAAAGGAATTTAATAACATCAAATTAAAAACATTAATTTGGGTACATTACTCTTGGGTTTCAACTAGCCAATTCAATTAATTCCTAATTCTCCTCATTCATTTTATTTTCACTATCATACTCATTATCCCAAAATCATTTATTATTGGAAACAATCAAAATGATTTTTAATTCTAGATTTGAATTAGACAATAAACAATGATTTCATATATAACTCTAAGACAAACAAATTGTGTGGGACAACAAAGGAATTTAATAACATCAAATTAAAAACATTAATTTGGGTACACTACTCTTTTGGATTTCAGCTAGTTTCTCCAATTCAGTTAATTCCTAATTCTCCTCATTCATTTTATTTTCACTATCATACTCATTATCCCAAAATCATTTGTTATTAGAAACAATCAAAAAGATTTTTAATTCTAGATTTGAATTAGACAATAAACAATGACTTCATATATAACTCTAAGACAAACAAATTGTGTAGGAAAACAAAGAAATTTAATAACATCAAATTAAAAACATTAAATTAAAAACATCAATTAAAAACATCAAAAACAAAGAAATTAAAAACATAACAAAGGAATTAAAAACATTACAAAGAAATTTATTATTATTATTATTATTATTATTAATTTATTTTTAAAAATAAGTGTATAGGAATTATTTTTTATGTTTATGTTATATTTTCTTATAAATTAATAATGAATATGAATTATTATATTAGATTATTGGATTAAACAAAATAATTATAACCAGGCCCAAAGAGAGAAGCCCAAAATGTACAGGACGTGTGGTGGAAACAAGCAATGGTTGTTGATGTTGTTGTTTTTTTCATCTGGTTGTGTTCAACTGAATCTGAGAGAACAGAACATCCTCTGCTTCTTGGGTTTGTTTTTTTTCATCTGTCTTCAACTGAATCCGCGGAACAGAGAACCCCTCACCTCACTTCTCTTTAACCATTCAACTTTCGCCTTTGTTTTGTAAGTTCACTCTTCCATTCCCGCATTCTATTATTCCAAACTCTTCTTCGATCCTAGGTTTCTTTTTTGCATTTCCTTTTAATCCCTGGCAATTGCGTTTTATCTTCTCGGGCCGTTTTGTCACCGTCCATCACGTCCCCTATTCCTCAGCGTTTTAGGAGCCTTTTCAGTTTTTAGTATTAATTATCAATTATTTGTTTCCGAATATGTTAGATGCTCAGTTTTGTGTTATTATAAAATATGATTTAGAGCACATGATAATCATTTCGGTAGATGTTAGCCAGAGTTATGTCATCGAGTAGTGGATTATTTTGTGAACTTTTCCTCTCTGGTGTGTAGATGATGTGCTTGTGGAGCTACATGATTATGTTGCGTGATGGATATTGTTGTTGTTGTTATTATTATGTCATCGTGGATTATTTTCTGAACTTTTACTTTGGTGTGTGATGATGTGCTTGTGGAGCTACATGGATTATGTTGCGTGATGGATATTGTTGTTATTTTTATTAGGATGATACGTGATTAGTTTTGGATTAATTAGTTATTGAGAAGGTACCATTAAATCTATGGTTCTTCGGCAGTTTAAATCATTTCATCCCATTTTTTCTTTCTTTGGGGTTCTCTTTGTGTTCACATATGTTTCTTGATGAACATAACATATATGTTGTGATTGAATTTGAAATTTGTTCAGCATGTTATATGAATTTTTAAAAGCTTCATACTTCTTTATTGTGTAATTTTTTTTATTGGTAGATAATTGTATCTTAATCTTGCATTACATTTATTAATGTCATAGCATTTCCTGTGACAAATCGCATTACTAGTTTTCATGATTTTATTGTTGCAGATTAAATTTGTTGAACTCTGTAAACTGCACTTATATGCTTATTTCTGTAACTTTATGTCCATTACATAGTTGGATAATGTTACTTATCTATTTTTTTATTTTTGTGAACGATCAACAGCGTGACTGACATGGCTGGAGGTGTTGTTCAGCAGTTACTGAGGAGGAAACTCCACCCTCAATTTATTGTAAACCACTAGCCCTCATTTCGTGTTAATTTATTGGGTCCCATATGTCTCTATGACCTGTAATGAATATCTCTAGAATAGAATTAGCACATACATGGGTAGGAGTTGGCTAAATATGAAATGCAATCTCTGACATTTACTTAACAGTTTTCTTCAAATATTTATATGGATTAGTCCATGTGCTAGCTGTGTTCTTCACCTTGTCAAGTATGTCTCTGAATTGGCTTATTTTGACATTGCTTCCTTTGCCAGCTTTTGAGAAATCTTTCCTGAGAAAGTGGTTATTTTCCCAAACATTAAGCAGCAAAAAATGCAAAGGGGTGGATAAGTTGGATCCAAATAATGAGATTTATCTTCCAATATATGCTCAATCCTTTTACTGACTTTTATGAAGATATTATGTTTGTTGTATTGTTTTTGCTTCCCATGGAACGAGATGATTGTTTCTGCTGCTAATATTGCTAATAGTTGCTGTGTACTCACTGCAGAACTCTTCCTTGTTGTCACCCATTATAGCAAAGAAAGATGATGCTGGCTCTACTAGCAGTAGGTCCTTAAGAGCAGTTGCATTACTTGGAGCTGGTGTGTCAGGCTTTTTCGGTTTTTCTACAATGGCAGCAGCTGATGAAGCTGAGCATGGCTTGGCATGTCCAAGCTATCCATGGCCTCACAAGGGAATTCTTAGTTCATATGATCATGCTTCGTAAGTTTGGCTTCAATTTTCCCTATATTTTCCTATCTTTGCTGAATTACATGTAGTAAAGTTTAATTTATTTTCTCATTTACTGATTAACCTTATTTTATCTTTATCACATCCTTAGATCAGCAGTTCATCCTTCTTTTCCCCTGTTATTTCATTTCTTTTGATGTGATATAACATGGTTTGAATCTTGTATGTGACTCTGCTTTAAGTTGGTCCTTCATTCATATTCAGCATCAGTATGTCCTTCAATGACTATGTTGAAAGTCTCACATCGCTTACCTCATGTTATTTGGTATGGTTTAAATACATGATAGGCTACTCCACATATTGTTAATTGGTTTTATGTTGGAACCTTAACATGGTATCAGAGCCAACGCCTAACATATTTCCGGTTATTGTCATGGGCCAAAAGTTACCCTTTAGTTGGGTCAAAAGTACCCTTTGCCTGGTCCGGCAGGCTTCGTTGGAGGGGGTGTGTTGAAAGTCCCACATCGCCTACCTCATGTTATTTGGTATGGTTTAAATACATGTTAGGCTACTCCACATATTGCCAATTGGTTTTATGTTGGAACCTTAACAGACTATAAACGATATCACATTCATTCAAACACCCATCACTGACAGCTATCTGATGTATTATCTTCCTATTTTTTGCCTTATGTAGTAAGGACCAACATGATCACACTTTTATATTTGAAGGACCAACATGGTGGTTTACTCTATTTAACATACATTGGTTGCATCACAAATGTTCTAGGAAAATAGTTTAACCTCAGAATTTTGCCAAAGAAATAATGTCCTGCTATAAGTATATTTGCTGTGGCAGGGTTCATAATGATGAATACATGTTTTGCTGCTGTCATGTATTTAATTCAGATTTCACCTTAAGATTGTATTAACGTGTATAATTTAATAATAATTAATGTCCTAAATTCTTAATGCTTTCAATTAATTTTACATGGGCAGGATTCGTCGTGGTCATCAAGTTTATACAGAAGTTTGTGCTTCCTGTCATTCTATGTCTTTGATATCATATCGTGATTTGGTTGGTGTTGCTTATACAGAAGAAGAGGTAAAGGCTATGGCAGCTGAGATTGAGGTGGCTGATGGCCCCAATGATGAGGGTGAGATGTTTACGCGCCCTGGTAAACTCAGTGACCGTTTTCCTCAGCCATATGCAAATGAAGCAGCTGCTAGATTTGCTAATGGAGGAGCTTATCCTCCAGATCTAAGTCTTATTACCAAAGTAATGCTAATTATTTAATAGTGAGTCTTTGGAATTTTCAAATGTATGTCCACCTGAAATGTATATTCTTTTTATTTTTTATTTTTACTTTTTCAGGCCCGTCACAATGGTCAGAATTATGTTTTTGCCCTTCTAACTGGTTATCGTGACCCTCCTGCCGGTGTTGCGGTAAATTCTTTATACTTAGATTCCTTATATATTTTACTTTATTTAGTAAAGTAATTTTATATATTTATCAAAGTTGACTGATGGAGAATGCTTGGTCAATAATATTTAGTTTTGAACCAAAATAAGATATGTTTAAAATCTGTTTTGAAAGAAGCACATGCTCAACAACTGTCTAATACTTATTCTTTTCTTTTCCCTTTTTTTCTTGCACTCTAATGGGCAGTGTTTGTATGCATAGTGTAGGGCTGGGCAGGTAACAGTTGAAGAGCCTTTGGCTCTATCGTATGATTTGTTTTCTGTACATTACCATGCCTTTTTTGATATCCCTTGCATATCATGTATACTTTTTGCAGGTTCAATCTCTTGCATAAATTATAAAACACACACACGCACACACACCTACACATGCGCACACACACTCGCACATACATGCAATTTTAGAACATTTATATTGTGCTTTGTGACTATTTTACGTTTTGAACTAGATCTTGGTAGTGTTTTGCTTTGATTTTTTTGTTATTTGAATTTCTAGACTTACTATTCTTTTATGAGGGGATCCCTAACTTTAGGAGTTTTACACTTACTCTTCATTTTTTGGTAATTTAATAGGTAAGATAAGTTATTGTTTTCGACTATTAGATTACCAAAAAATAATTTGTAAGGATGACGAGTAAATCTGTAACTCATATTCTTGAAGTGAATTGATCCCTTCTCTTATTTTATTAATTATATGGTTGTTTATAGTTATTTTTGCATTACAATTATATCTACGCATTGCAGTATTTTAAATTTTGCATTGCAATTATTTATTGTATTTATTTTGTATGCAATGCTTCTGGCATAACCTGCAACGGCTTCTGATATTTCTGAAATGGATTTTGGATTGATGAGCTTTCATTATACTTTCTATGTCTTTGGCACTAGTTCAGATATCATCCTGTACCGATACTAACATTTTGTCTTAAACTTGTATCACGGCTATATATAATAAAACAATAATCTAGATAAGGGAAGGACTTCATTATAATCCTTACTTTCCTGGTGGAGCAATTGCCATGCCTAAAATGCTTAATGATGGTGCTGTGGAATATGAAGATGGTACCCCTGCTACAGAAGCTCAGGTATCAAATTTGTTTTTGGGGGGAATGGTTTAATAAATCTTACAAATGCATCATTGTGGTCATTACAAAGAATGTGGCTGAATTTTTTTTAATGTTTTGTTGCAGATGGGGAAAGATGTTGTGTCATTCTTAAGTTGGGCAGCCGAACCTGAGATGGAAGAGAGAAAACTGGTTCGTTTCCTTTGAATCATGTTTGCACCAAGATCAATAGCGACCATAATAACAATATCCTGAGTTTCTAACTACACTTATGTTTATGCAGATGGGATTTAAATGGATATTTGTACTGTCACTGGCACTACTTCAGGCTGCCTATTACCGTCGTTTGAGGTGGTCAGTTCTAAAGTCTCGCAAGTTAGTTCTTGATGTTGTCAACTAGTTGCCCCAAGTTTCATTTTCTCTTTTAGCAAAGTTTACTGGTAATAATTTGTCGGATAATTAAGATCATTTCAAATTTGTTCAGTAAAGTTAATGGTTGGTGGAACAACAACCGGAAGAGTGTTAATTTTGTTTTTTTTTGAGATAAAAATATTCCAATCTTGTTTTTTTGAGATAAAAATGTTCCATACACGAGATGGGTTTACTTTTTCTCATCCTCCTCGGGTTGCATTTTCGGACAGATGTTCCTATTTGATTAACTTTTTAATTTTGTGTAACATAAACACAATTTGTATGAAAACTGAGATAACAGAACAATTGTCTTCTTACACAAAGTTCTGACCAAAAGAACAAAGGCAAACCAATAGGTTAGAGAGAATAATCTATTTAAAGATTATTGCTGGATTTTGATTTGCAATTTTTCCATCTCTTACGGACAACCGACAGTGTGTACTGAGAGCCTTGCACTATATATAACCCAGAGTCGAATAAAAGCAAAAAAGGTTTAGAATTTTTTTATTTTTTTATTTGGGAGGTTTTCTAGCCCTTCAATTCTAGATGTTATATGTGTATCTATTAATTTGGTGCTTTCGTTAAGTTTTTCCATTATGGGGATCACAATTAACGTGTCAAATTTATTCTGTACATAGAATAAACTCTTCAATCACTTTCTTCTACTCAATCTAAACTTGCCTCTAAAATCGATTCCATCATTTTACCACATGCTTCTATGACCACAACGTTGGGGACCTTTCCTCATCATCGATTATAATGCCCTCACTGCAATTTACTTCAAAAGGGTCTCCTATTATTTTTCATACCCAACCCCTTTCCCCCATGACTGTTTCTACCCCACAACTAAAATGCATTTTACAAACACATGTTGCCTCCAAGTTTTACGACATCCCCTTGCACTTGATCCCCTTCATGAGAAACCCACCCACCCTAAACCCAAGCTTTCCATTTTCCAAAAGTTCTCTCACTTATTCACCACACCTTGTACCCTACCACCTAACCATAAAGTAAATAACTAAATACATCTTTTTCCTAATTTCATTTTGATCAATTTTCATTCCGCATTTTTAGAAATGTGAGATCGAAAAACAAATTACAAAGCTACTTCAGATTAGGTTTATCTAGGCAAGTTACAACCTCTTTTCTTCTGTCCTTTTAGTTAAGAAGAAGGATGACTCTTGGCGAGTACACATGGATTATCGTACTCTCAATGCAATTATAATTTGAGATTTTTTTTCCTTTACTCACTATTAATGAACTATTAGACTAACTTGGTGGTGCTCGTGGTTCTCAAAACTTGACCTTTGTTAGGGCTTTCACCAAATTTTTATGTATCCATATGACATTTCCAAAACTAAGTTTTGGACCCACCCATTATTATAAATATAAGGTGGTGCCTTTTAGTCTTTGTAATATACCTTCTACATTTCAAGCAATAAAAAATGGTGTTATTTTTTTCTTATCTTTGTCAATTTATTACAATATTATTTTATGACATACTAGTTTATAGTAACTCTTTTGCTAACTGCTTACATTATCTAGAACTAGTTCTTTAGCATTTGGATGAGGAAAAATTATTTCTAAAACGATCAAAGTCTCTTTAGGCAATAACAATTAGATTTTCTTGGACACATTGTCTCCAAACAAGGTGTGACCAACCTACAAAAATCCAAGCAGTGCTCAATTCGTCAATGATTTCCTCAATTTGTACTTTGAAAGGGTTTTTAAGTCTCACATGATTCTACAGATGCTTTATTAAAGCATATGCATCAATCGTTGGTCCTCTATATGATCTTCTCAAGAAATGAACGTTCGCATGATTTCCTTCTTTCCAACTGGCTTCAAGTCCCTTAAATAGACCATGACAACTATCCTAATTCTTACTTTCTCAAATTTCTCTAATCCTTTCACCTTGGAAACTGACACCTCTTGTTCAACTATGAGTCTCGTCATCCTCATGCAAAATCAGCAACCCATTGCTTATTTTAGCCAACAATTTTGTTCTCGAGTTTCTCATGACTCTATTTACATAAGAGAATTTCACGAGATTACTTCTACAGTAAAAAAAATGATGACAATATGTATTAGGTCACTATTTGACTATTGTCACTGATCACAAAAGTCTTATGAATTTAATGTCTCAAAGCATTCAAACCTTGGAATAACAAGTATACTTATCTAAATGATGTTGTTATTAATGTTCTATCTAGAAAAACCAACTTTGTTAACTTTTTTTCTATGGTGCTTTCTATACCTCACTTTGTCTTCTTGGAAGAAATACATCACAATCTCAAATCCAATTGTGCCTTAATTGTTATGATTCAAAAGGTGCATGATCCCCTTTATGATCACACTGAATATAACAGACATAATGGGCTCCTCATTTTTTAAAATTGAATTTGACTTCCTTCAAATTTTTCCATGAACACCACCCTCTTACAAGAATTCCACCTTTTCCCAATCGGTGGCCACATGGGAGATTTCAAGACTCTACATCACCTTCGAGGGAAATTTTTTGATATGTAAAATGATGTTAAACTCTTTATTGATCAATGTCATACTTGTCAACAAACAAAATACAAGACTAAGCATCCAGTGGACCTCCTACAACCTTTCCCTATTCCTACTACTATTTGAGAAGATCTCTCCCTTGACTTCATCAAGTTTCCTCCCTCTTCTGGCTTCACTTTACAATTGGTAATAGTTGACCGCTTTTTCAAAGGATGCTCACTATGCAACTTTGCCCACCCATTTTATAGCTTTTAAGGTTGCCTAAGTATATCTTAATTTGCAAGTATCATGGACTGTTCTGTAATCTTGTATTTGACAAAGACCCTATTTTCATTAGCAAATTTTGGCAAGAACTCTTCAAGCTTAGTGATACAATTCTCCATATGAGTACCTCCTATCACTCACAAATTGATGGTCAAACTAAAGTTTTGAATCGAGTCCTAGAACAATACTTCCATTTCTTTGTTCATGAGCAACCTTCCCACTAGTAACCTTCCTCCTTCCAAATTATGTTTGGCAAAGTGCCTCCTTCTATTCCTCTATCTTCTAGGCACCTCTTCCATTGATGTCGAGGATAAACTTCTTTCAGTTTGCCAACAAAATGAAACAAAAACTCCATAAAGCCTAACTTCAAAGGAAAAATTAGGTTGATTGACAATAGTGAGATGTTCAGTACAATGTACGTGATTGGGTTTATGTTCAGTACAATGTATGTGCTAACTATTAGTTTCAAATGGTTCTTATTACAAGTTATCTAAGACTTATTATGACCATATCCAATCTTAGAATGAATTGGTCCTGTTACTTACAAATTAACTTTACCGTTTTCATCCAAAATTCATCTAGTTTTTCACTACTCCCTTTTAAAACCCATATAGGACTTATTCCTTCTCAAACAATCAAGCTTCCACTTACAGCTTATGATAATAACTGTCTAATCCAACCACTTACTATTTTCAATCTATGTGGGACAAATTGTCCCCTCCCCAACTCTTTGTTTTGGTACGATGGTTGGGAATTTCTCCTCATGATTTAGGGTGGGAAAAATAGAATGATCTTATTACTACTTGTCATCTTGAGTACAAGGTGTATTTTGTAGCGATCAGCCATTGACTTCTATGAATGTTGAGATAGTAGAGGAATTATTTTCTTACATTATGACCTAACTCAAAGTAATTGTAAGTAAATTAATATGTTATAGAAAATAATTTATTTAGGTTTATTGTTTAGATATTATTGTTCATGGATTCTAATTTACAATTGCCATTTTATAATTTTGTTCCACTTTTGTAGACAACTATTAATGTACTTAGTGCTTCACGTTATATAATCCATAAGTCATGAATAAAAGCATATTCAAATTGTTTTCTTTTATTTGGGTGGTTTTCCTACCTTCAATCTTAAACTTTATCTTTTTCTCATCCATTTTGAACCCTTGTGTTGTTGCATTTTCCCATATGTGTTTCTATTTAATTAACTATTTAATTATGTGGAACTTATTTATCATTGGGATTCATGTTGATCATTCAATAAAAAATAATAGATAATCCGCCCAATTTGGACAAATAAAGATATATTATTTCTCTTTGGCTTCAGAGGTATATTGTTTCGTGTATGGTGTTTGTTTAGAACAATTTTGCAGCTGTTGTTAAAAAAAAAAGCTTATGTTGCCGAGTTATAAGAGGTAAAAGTTGTTAATGGGAAAGAGGGGATGTAAAAATGGTGAAAGAGTGAAAAATGGGTAGGAAAAAAAAATATAGAATAAAGTAAAAATGAACTTATATGTAACGTGAGAAAGAAATAAAATATTTTAAAAATATTAATATTTAAAGATGTAAGTTTAAATATAAAATTGAGATGAAGACATGATTTGTGTGAGTATTATATTATTCATTCTCGATTTAAAGCAAAAAAAATAAAAAAATCGTACTCGTACTCGATTAATTTAATTTTTCTTCATCAAACTTAAGACGAGATGATCAATCACCACGAATGTGATTTTAATACTCATCCCTAAATATATCTTACATGAGTGGAGTATACCTTACATGTTATATTTTTTATATAAGTAAAGATAACATGAAATGACTGAGTTAAAGAATTCTAATTAGGATAATATTTTCATACCTCACCAATAATGTATAAAATGAAATCTGAATTGTTGAGGAAAGAAAAGTTGTAAATACGTTGTTTTGTATAATACCGCATAGCTATAAATTTTAGTTAGAGAATACGAAGAATTATGAGAAACGTTACAAAACATATGTAAGAAAAAAGAGGGAAGTACTTTTGTGCTTATTTAAAAGTTCATTTCTCGTTTATTTTTATTATTATTATTCTTAATTCCTTTTTAAGTTTTCCTTACAACCTATTTAAAGTCTTTTTAATCTTTAATTTGCATTAGTTTATTTAATTAAAAAATTGTCAAGTTAAGTTAAGCTATTCAATAGAATTTCAGTTAATTTAGTTTCTCAA